AAGGTGGGATGGCGGGGGTGGCTAAGGATTGGCCTGTGTCCTCTTCCCTAGGCTGTAATTCAAAATCCATTCAGCAATGGTGGCAGCCCGGCCGCAGAAGCTGTCAGCGGGGAGGCACGGTTTGCATATTTCCCAGCATCCAGTGTGGGAGATACCACGGCTGTGTCTGTGCAGACCACAGACCAGAGCCTGCAGGCCGGAGGTAAGGGGAGGAAGGGTAGCTAGGGAAATCACCGAAGCAGTTCCACCTTGCTGATGCTCCCTGGACGTTTCCGGCAGGCCAGTTCTATGTCATGATGACACCCCAGGATGTACTTCAGACAGGGACACAGAGGACAATTGCACCCCGGACACACCCCTATTCTCCGTATGTGCCTAGTCCCGTTGTTGGGGGCCGAGGAAAGGGAGGGTTTTTTGGTGCTTTTTTTGGGGGGGCCTAGCCGCTGGGCCTGTCCAGTATACAGCAGGAGTCGGGTATGGGTTTTGTTAGCTTTTGCTTCTGGAGTACCACTTTTAAAAAAAAGTTTAATTTTCTCTCCGTTTTCACATGGATTTACTTGGCAAAACTAATGGTCCTGGGCTGGAGAGGTAGCTCAGTGGCAGAGCGCTTGCCCAGCATTTTGCAGAGCCCTGGGTTCGACTCCTAGTGCCGTGAAAACAAAGGTGTTTGTCAAGTCTGGTAGTTTGGTAAATACTTGAAGAGATGGATGAGTCTAAGGTAATAGGTGTCTGTTATTTCCCCTTCTGTTGTAGAAAAATCGATGGAACCAGGACTCCTCGAGATGAGAGAAGAAGAGCTCAGCACAATGAAGGTAAGGGTGGTGGTGTGTGTTCCTTGGGTGCTTCGAGCCCATTGCCTGTCAAGCCCAGATGCCGGAGAGGTGTGTGCTGAATTCGTCGGGCAGGGCTGATGGGTGACGGCAGTAAGCTGTTAGGAAAGATAGAGGGCGAGAGTTGGCCTTGGCCAGGTGTTTTCTGGCCTGTGATTTAGAGTTGGTCTGTTGGCCAATCTCTTAAAAACGGCAGCCCCTACATCCAGGTGTAGGATTTGCCCTTCTCATTCACGTGTTCTTGCCCTCCATGTGTAGCTGGGCGGCCTTTATGAAAAGGAAATTGAACTTCTGGCCAGTTGAAGCCAGTGTCTCCGCCCTTCCCGGAAGCTACAGTTCCACCCTAGGTCTTTTGTCTTTTAGGGCTGTTCCTTGGTCTCCCTGACTTGATTGGTCATCAGCATACTAGCCCTCAAGGCAAGGCAGTTCTGACACCCAAACAGCCACCCCTCAACAAATATTTACTGACCCCGGATCCCAGGCAGGAAAGGGCAGGGCAGCACAGGCCCTGGGCCAAGACTGCTGCCTGGCCTAGGGGATCAGTCAGAATTGCTAACGAAAGACAGCTTGTGGCTGAGAGATGGCTAAGGCACTGAAGTGAGGTTGCCCCAGGAAGATTTTTCTGGGAGCTTTAGCAATTAGAGGATGGCACAGGCTGAAGAGAGTGTTTCAAGGGTGCTGTTTGCTTGTCACTGAGGCTTTGTGTGGTTTCTTTGAGACTGAACCAGGATGAAGACCTCAGACCCTGAGACTTGAGGGTGCTTTGATGGCAGAGGGAATAGGGGGTGCTACTGTTTAAGCGGTGACAAGCTTTTGGCCAACAAGCACCCAGCCATGCCTGCCCCCATCTGGGCCTCAAGTGCAGTGGAGACAAGGTCTAGGCT